TTATCAGACATACTGTGAAAATCTCCTTGCTCTGTTAAACATCATTTGGGAAAAATTTACAAAAGAAAAAAAAATTCAAAGGGGGGGCTAATAATTCTGACTTCAACTGTATGTGTATGTATATATACTAAACTTGTTCATTTATTTTCCTTTCGCTTACTCCCTTATTTATCAGTCACCACAGCGGAATGAACCACCAACTATTCTGGCATATATTTTATGCAGCGGATGCCATTCCAGCCGCAACCCAGTACTGAGAACACCCACACACTCTTGCATTCAGACACACACACACACACACACACACACACACACTCATACACTCCAGCCAGTTTAGTTTACCTAATTATACCGCATGTCTTTGGACTGTGGGGGAAAATGGTGCACCTGGAGGAAACTTAGACCAACATGGGGAGAATATGCCAACTTCACACAAAAATGCCAACTGGCCCAGCCGGGACTCAAATCAGTGTCCTTCTTGCTGTGAGGCAACAAGGCTAACCACTGAGCCACAACTCTGCCCTTTTATTTTATAGCATATATACATTTTCAGATTTTAAATGTGTTGCGGGACACAAGGTCTTTATATTGGTATAGTATAGTATAGTATAGTATAGTATAGTATAGTATAGTATAGTATAGTGTAATATAGTATAATATAGTATAGTATAGTATAGTATGGTATAGTATGGTATGGTATGGTATAGTATAGTATAGTATAGTAAAGTGTAGTGTAGTGTAGTGTAGTATAGTATAGTATAGTATAGTATAGTATAGTATGGTATGGTATGGTATAGTATAGTAAAGTGTAGTGTAGTGTAGTGTAGTATAGTATAGTATAGTATAGTATAGTGTAATATAGTATAATATAGTATAGTATAGTATAGTATAGTATGGTATAGTATGGTATGGTATAGTATAGTATAGTAAAGTGTAGTGTAGTGTAGTATAGTATAGTATGGTATGGTATAGTATAGTAAAGTGTAGTGTAGTGTAGTGTAGTATAGTATAGTATAGTATAGTGTAATATAGTATAATATAGTATAGTATAGTATAGTATAGTATAGTATAGTATAGTATAGTATAGTATAGTATGGTATAGTATGGTATGGTATGGTATAGTATAGTGTAGTGTAGTATAGTTTAGTATAGTATGGTATGGTATAGTATAGTAAAGTGTAGTGTAGTGTAGTGTAGTATAGTATATTATAGTATAGTATGGTATGGTATAGTATAGTAAAGTGTAGTGTAGTATAGTACAGTATAGTATAGTATAGTATAGTACAGTATAGTATAGTATAGTATAGTATAGTATAGTATAGCATAGTATAGTATTTGTTGATATGCTATGATTTCCATAAAAGTGCTGGGTTGTTGTAAAAAAAAATATATCAAATATTAACAAACGCAACTTTGGATTAACTTTTTTGATAAAATGGTAACACTTTATTTTGAGGGTCTAAATGGGTTAAGCATCAATTAATGGTTAATTTGTTCACAATTAAGCATTAGTTAAGACAAAAACATGAGTCATTAATAGTTAACATTTTTAGGGTCTTGAATTATGCATTAGTTAAGCTCAGTCATGATTAACTTCATAATTATGCGTTAAGCATTTAAGCTGCATGGTTTCCGCCACATTCATTCTTCATGGCGGGGTGCCACGCCAAAATTCATCCTGCCACGGCTACATTACAGCTTCTCGTTCAAAACATTTTTTAATAGTGGGTGATAATCGCACCAAAACGTATTAAAGGGTAAGTGAATTATAACAGTGTAAACTTTTCTGTAACCGTAGTAGTGCTGTGCGTCATTTGTTTAACCCTTTAAGGTTACGTGCTGACTGACTGACTGACTGATTGACTGACTGACTGACAGGTGCGTGATGCGTGAGGCCAGCACGCGTATACACGACGTATAGCCGTTTCACTTTACTTCAGGGTGCATTAATGCCGCTCTGCAGGTCTATTGAAAACCTTTATAAATATTCCTAGCAAATCTAATAAATGCTGGAGACATACTCGTTACATAAATGTACTAAATCGCACTTCAGCAGTGTTTATTTGAGAGCGCACGAGAAGATCTGCGCACTCTTGAAGCAGCTTATATTTTAGGGGGCCTGCAAGAAGTTTTGTGCATGAGCAGAGGAAATCGGCGCACGATCAAAGAGATCCGCATGCTCGTAGGCTATTACATCAATGCGATCTCGACTTCTAACATGCCACAGCTGGAAAAAATCCTAGAGGAAACACTGAGCTGTATTTTATTTCTTTGATTCATTGTCTATTTAATTAACTATGTTCCGTGCTGGTTTGCAATTGTGGCTAAAATAAACAGTTTAACCTCATGTCCTAAAGTTAAAGTTATGTCCACATTAATAATGACACTTGAGTGATATTCAGTTTTATTGACTAGAATTAGCTAGAAGCTATTTAAGGCTAAAATGGCATTAATACAGTGTTAATAAAGGCAATTTGACCCCCCCTATGCATAACTCAGGACCCTTAAAATGTTGTTAACCATTAATTACTAGTGTTTTGCTCTTTACTGATGCTAAATTGTGAACTAATTACCCATTGGTTAAGCAATTATTAATGTTTAATTAATGCATTATTTTGCACCCTAAAAATATAGTGTTACAAAAAAAAATTATATTTATATTTTTATTTTATTTTATATTTATTATTTATATTTGAAATAGATGGTATTGTGTAAATGTTAAAGTATTCATACTTTTATCCAGTATGTTGTCTTTGCTTTTGATCTTATATTAATATTTACCCCAGGATCTGTCATATCAATCTGTCCTCATGCAGATCTAGCTAACTTTAAAGGTTTTGCAGCAGACTTCTTCTTTACATGCTAGACTCAGACTGTCTGGACATGGTCTGATTAATAAGGTCAGCATTGACCTTAACAGTGTTCGTAGGTGACATTCAGTCACTTTAAAGGTTGCCTTTATCTAACCAAACACATCATTACTCCAAAGCTTGTGATTGACTGGATTGTTTTAGGTGCAAGCAGAGGATTTAATGAAGAACTAAACAAGAACTTAATCTTTTTATCCTCTCGAGGATAGGGGTAATTTGTCACAGATTGACAGATAAACTGATCCAAATGACTAATTTATGGAATTAGAGGCAAAGAATTAGGCCAAAGTGTTACTTGTGGAAAAAGTAGACTTTGGAGAATACTAAATTCTATTTTGTTTTTGTTTTTTTGTCATGCTGTGAGTTCTAACAATGTGCCAGATGGATTGTGATCGTTGGATTCTCTGTCAAATTAAAAACAGTTCAGCTGTAAAAAATGTGCAAAACTTTCATGTATTTGTTGTGCTCCATTTTGTGAGCTGCTTCTTTTATTAGACGCAAGAGTGCATCCTGTCTTGTCTGCTCTACAAATAACGTCAAATGAAGGCAATGAGCATAAGTTTGGATGGAAGAAAAGGCAGAATCACTTTAATGCTTATTTAATTATTCAATTTAAACCTTCTTAAATCAAGATACATTCACTTACAAAGAAAAGTGACAAGAATTTTAGCAAGAGACTTGATAATGTTCAGTCTCTCTGGCATTATTATAGGTTTCAGAAAATGTTAATATCTTTGTATAAGTTCTGATAACATTTTATCCAAATTTCAAATACGATATGGTAATTTAGAGCATTGTTATTATTATTTAATTAGTATTATTATTATTGAAAATTACAGCTGGACAGAATCACAAATATTCTTTTGTTGTGACTTTAGATCAAGATTATTCCACATAATACTGAATGATAATACTTAAAACATTAGTATTGTGCTCTATACGTAACATTTAAAAGTGCCATATGCTGAATTGGTTTAATAAGTTAAATTGTTGGCTGATATTTAGTTGGATTATGGCTTCAGTAAGTTAAGTAAAATGGTTTTATAAGCTTCTGTATTACTAAAGAAAACAGCCAGGAATTAATATCAACCTCTGCATGAACATATGACAGTTGAGCTGCGTGATTTGACATGATTCAGCAGGCTACATGTGTTTGTTGGAACACGCGCATCAAATTTTCACAATAAAAATGATAAATTAACAAAAGATGCAACTAAACATATCTTATGCCTCTTTAGAGTGAAGATGAATAAATGTACAATCTGTAAATCTTGGGTTTTGCGTTCTGAAGCAATTTTGAACGTCCTTTGTGCTGTCATGTCCCAGTAACAAACAGTAAACAATTTAGCACTCGCATTTTCAACATAAAAGTCCCATATACATAGTAAGTGAAATATACGCTTAAAATAACTACAGGAAGAAAACTATCACTGTTGTATCACTAGAAAACATTAGGCTCATCAAATGCAGCCTGAGGCGTGCATATTTATGATTTGGTCTGGATGAATGACCTAAAGTAGGCATACATGCAAATGAGGCCCATGAGTCTAGTCACAGTTTGTTTTGTCTTTTTGTCTTCTAATTGGCCCGTTGTCCACCAGGGTTTTACACTCATGGAATTTACATGAGAATGATGTAACAGAGGTGTCTAAGGCTCACAGTATGCACATTTCCATTTACTAATCTTTCATTATTTTACTATGCCTTGGTATACCCAGATTTCATTAAAGGGCACCTTTAAAAAAAACTTCAGAAAAAGGATCTGAATTAAGCTGCACAGCTAGTATTATAAAAATATATACTGTGTTAATACTGAGACTATTTCATATTGTTTTTTCACAAGTGCTTTCTCTATATTTTAAATCACACACTGTGTTTGCTACTGACATTGCCATTTTTCATATCTTCAAGCTGCTCCCTTAAAAAGACTAAACAAATATGTGCTTCCTCAAACATTACCTTAAGTTTTGAGCCAACAGACAACAACAATACTTTGAGTGCTTTTATTTAAAAATGCCCTGCGGTCTCTCCATTCCTGTGATGGACAGTCGCTTTTTATTGTCCCGCAGGAGGAGTGTTTATCAAACTTCTTTTGTTTACTGCCACTAAAATAATTTTCTTCTTTTAAAGGAGGAAGACCTTGTGAGAGAAAGCCGTGGCTTTTACTTCCGAGGGTACGGACTGGGCCATTGCTTGCAAACAAAAGATGGGACAGCAGTGGAGGGGTCCAGTGTATTCGCCCCACCACCTCCAGTGCAAGTGCTTTACGACGGAGAGGCCGTCCGGAAGCGCTTCGTGGACCGAGCCAAACGAATCGACACCATATCGAGAGCAGTATTTCCTCTCAGCTTCCTCATATTCAACGTCTTCTACTGGATCACCTATAAAGTGCTGCGACACGAGGATATCCACGCCAACCCTTAACCGCACCATCTCTCCAGGTTCATCTTACAGCTTCTTTGATTTTCTTATATCTCTTGATTTGAACCAATACCGCCTGTCATACTCACTCTAGAAGGCATATTGACTCCAGAAATGCCGTCAGTGCTAAAAACCATGTGCTCAGGTGTGACTTCTGGAAAAAAAAAAAAAAAAGGTTTTATAGTGCCCTCTCTGAATGAAAGGGGCTCGTAGATGCCAATGCTGCTGTTTGGGGATCTGGCTCTCCTCTCTTTCACATCTTCATTCGAATGGATTGCACTAATAGCGGTTGTCCTCACTTTGTAGGCTCCATTTGAGTTATCGGCTGGTTGGGTAGAAAATACTGACTTGAATTTTACCACAAGGCGCATCCTTGAACGAATGTTTTTGAAAACCTCAAAACAAATGTGTTTTTTTACATCTGAAAATGCCAAACTAATGGGCTGTGAAGGGGAGGATTGGGATTTATTATTCATAGGTACAGTTACAGGGGTACGGTCTACTGTTTTACTAAATAATGAGATTATAAATATATATATGACTGTATAAAGTGTATATATGCAGAGTTGTTCACAGACTGCAGACAGCACAAATGTGTACTTCTTTTTGTCTTTTGGATTTGAATAAATGGATATTCTACCAAGAAGTAGTGATCTACTGTCTTTACATCTTGACTTATGCAGATTGCAGTACTATTAAAAATGTTGGTATCGTTTTAGTGGGAAATTCCCACTTATTATTACGTGCTTATTGTTAAGATATTGGATGTTAATTAGTAAATATAAAGTATTATTTCATTGTACATCCCTTATACTACCCAATACATAAACCCAAATACTACATTGTGAACTAATAATAAGCAAAAAAGAGCTAAAATCTTAATTAATGGTTTAATAATGGCGAGAATTGTAGTGTGACCACAACGTTTTTCCTGTTGTTGTTTTTTTCAAGTTGGGTATATGCAGAAGAAACACTTATTAGTATCCACACCAGTGGCCATTTATTCAACTGCAGTCATTATTGAATTAGAAACTATACAACGCAATCTCACGGTAATTCGTAACTTTTTGATTTAGTGGCTAAATCGTATACAATTTGTACAATCTAATTCATACAATTGAGTACGATTTGCTCTTCCCTCAATGACGGTTGGGTTTAGGGGTGGGGTTGGGTGCCACGCCTCCTTTTTAAAATCGTACATTTTTGTATGACTGAACTGTAACGAATTTGCCACTAAACTGAGAAATCAAAATACTTACATTTTCTCGTGAGATCAGGCTGGAACTATAATGTTTTATGAATCAGTGCAAGTATCTAATCATAAGTACTGGCATCTAATGAATCAATTCATTCAGTCAAACATTTTCTTTTTGGCTTAGTCCCTTTATTAATCAGGGGTTGCCACAGCAGAATGACCCGCCAACTTATCCAGCATACGTTTTACACAGCATATGCCCTTCTGGCTCCAACCCATTACTGGATAACACACGTACACACTCATTCACACACATACAATATGGAAAATTTAGCTTACCCAATTCACCTAGAGCGCATGTCTTTGGACTGTGGGAGAAACTGGACCACCCGGAGGAAACCCGCATCAACACAGGGAGGACAAGCAAACTCCACACAGAAATGCCAACTGACCTAGCAAACTTCTTGCTGTGAGGCAACAGCATTACCCACTGCGTCACCGCACCATCATAATGAATAAATACTAGGACCTAAATAATAAGTATAGTATCTTATAAATAATAACAGGTATGAACAATTACTAACATCTTTTAAAGGTACAGGTGCATAAAATATAAGCGCTTGTAGTATGACTACTCAATAAACAAGACTCTTCTAGATTGTAATACTTGTACCATGAAAACTGCTTTATAAAATGTTCAAGTCCAGAGAAATAATCAATTTTAACACACCATCTCCTATTTGACCATGCTAATGGCATCACACACCCTTGATGTCCAGTTTGCTTTGATAGAAAACAAGGAAACACCAAACACACCTTAACATGTTGAGCTCTCTACTAGACTACAAAGAGCAGAATTACAACAGAACCCTTAAATGCATTTAGTGATAAAACAGCACCAATATGATCATGAGTGGAAGAACTGGAAGTGATGGACTCTGGCATAACAAAAGCTTCACTGTAACACTAATCTCTCATCAACATTTACTTCAGTGTTCTTGTTTCACTTTGATGACTTTCAGCCTCATTCACACTAGCAGTGACTTTGTAGCTGCCTCTCATCCTAGGTGGCCACTGAAGCAACTAGTGGGTATTCCCACCTTGAGGTTCTTTAGGTGACACTTATGCCCGATTCACACAGGGATTTATCATCAATGCTTGACGGAGGGCGTGTCTAAAGTTAGGGCTGACACGATCGTCATAGCAGCATCAGCCAATTAAAAAAGTCCGCAATCGGCTACTGTCTGAGCAGGGGTATTTGCATGAAGCGATCTGATTGATAGACGCTTCCATTGGCGCTTGAAACATTGAGAAATTCCCATCTTCTACAGCAAGCAATGCCACTGAAGCAGTGATGACGGACCTACAATTCAGTTTGGCAATGCTTGATGTCACCCATTTCACCACCAAGTGAATGAGAAGCTTTAACGCTGATGCCACGTGTGAATGGAGTGTTATGATAATATTCACTGAGAGCAAATGAGGCTACATCCCTCTGAAAACAAACACTTTACATGTAAAACATTATATATATATATATATATATATATATATATATATATATATATATATATATATATATATATATATATATTAAATAAGAACATTAAATGCTTTATTATATAGACGAACAAGAAAAAGAGTTGTGGTTATTTATTTGCTGCAATTGCTGTTCTATGTACTGTAGGTCTACAGCATGGAGAATACAACTGGCTGCTGCAAGAGTTGAGTCATGTGAGCTTTATTAATGCTCGGATTGGCTGTCACTACCGAAAGTACTCTTCATTTGTATAAAGCTGAAGTCGATTAACATGCCTAAATCAGGTCAGCGGAAGTTGCTCACTCTCCATTGACGTGAACGATCACTTGCAGTTTTGTTGCTGTGTGTTACTATGTATTGTGTATGGGGCTTTACTCTGCTTCAGACTACAATGACAGTAAATTTTGAATACTTAGCTCATCAATGTTGTTCTCGCATTAATCCACCAGAGGCCGCTGTCGACTGACTGACTGGCCCACCCTCCTCCATTCCTAAACCCAACCAATAGTGTTTTTAAAAGCACCGATTGACCCACCCATCCATTTCTCTAAACCCTATTGACAGTATTAAAAAGCAATCAAAAAAAGAAAAGTCCTTGCCTGATTTTTACCATGTTTTTAGATTTGACCACATTCTTACCCTGTTACATACTTTTAACATTATTATTTGGATTCTGTTATAATCTTACCCGTTTTCTGGAACCGTTCTTCACTGGACTCGAAACACTTTGTCATGGTCAACCCCTCTCTGCATCTCAAGTCTGCCGACAAACACGATGAGCTAACTGGACAAGCGGTCAGCTGTTAAGCGTGAACAGGAATAGCATTACACCGACCTGTAACGTTCATTTTAAAGACGAAACTCAGCCCTCTGGCTACATAACTGCGATATCAGAAATGTATACAGGGCTACGTTTTCAGAATGAGCCTACGTTGATTTAATGAAGACCACAACTCCCATGATTCCAAACATGGCATCATCAAACTACACCTTTGTTTGTTGTGAACATGCGCCATCTAGTGGTAAATAAAATTACAAATTTTGTCTTTTAATGTTAAATAAACCTGCTATTCAGCATCATCTTGAACATTCTAATGACTAATTTCATGTGTCTTTGAACAGAAGACTTTTTTCAAGGCAATATTCAGATTAACAAATTTTTAAAGACAACCAATGATGTAAGGGTAGGTTTAGCTGTTTTGTTGGCAATAAAACAGCCACATTAAAATAGCTCCCTCTAACTTTAATTATTACATTAGGAAAATGCAAATATCCAGAACATTCCATCATGTGTTAAATCATTCAAACTGGTGCCCGAAAGAAACAGATGATTTGCGGCGGTCTGTCAATGTGTCAGCGCTCGGCTTTAATTGCCAACAAACACAGACATGTATCACGCATCACAGCCATTCTTTATTACTGCAAACCCCGAACGTGTCCCTCAGTCAAACATAAAAGCCTTCATCTATTTTCCTGTCCTGAAAGCCGCTGGAGGATGTGCGGAGATGCAGGGTGAAGGAGAAAAGCCTTCGCAGCTCAAGAAGGAGTTTAATGGGAATCACAAGGTGTTTTTTATCAGCTAATGAGTTTGAAAAGGACTCTGCGTTCTTCGCTAATGACAATGAATTAAGGCCATCAACCTCTGCGCGCAGCCCTTTGTCTGAGGAGTAACTAATCTAGTCTTCCTTATGCAACTGTCCCGAGGGTAAACGGGCGCATGTACTGATGAGCATGGGGAGAAGGAAACAAAATGCTTAGTGCGGGAAATGTTCACAGATTAACCCTGATTTTTAAGACTTCAACAAGGAGAATGACAATTAGTATATGCTCATTAAAGCTGGGATGAAATAACTATTCATAAAGTCAGCAGTATCGACAGTTCATTTTCTTTTCGCTTAGTCCCTTTATTTATCAGGGGTTGCCACAGCGGAATAGACCTCCAACTTATCCAGCATGTATTTTACACAGTGGCTGCCCTACCAGCCTCAACCGAACACTGGAAAACACCCATACACTCTTGCATTCACACTCATACACTATGGCCAATTTAGTTTATTCAATTCACCTGCATGTCTTTGGACTGTGGGGGAAACCGGAGAAAAAACCTACATGAACACGGGGGAATATGCAAACTCCACACAGAAATGACAAACGACCCAGCCAGGGCTCGAACCAGGGACCTTCCTGCTGTGAGGCGATCATGTTACCCACTCCACCACCATGATGCCACTGTTTATACTCAATGTTTGTATACATTTTATTTTAGCAAATCAATCTTACTTCACTTCATATCCTAATAAATAGTTGCTTGTTTAAAGAAATAGCAGTCAACCAGTTAATACATACACAAATTGCCCATAAAAAACGAGTATTTGCGAATAGGATAGATCTAATCGAATCTGTTCAGAAGTCAACAATACTAT